GGAGCAAAAGTTGTCTAAGCAAGATGTTAGAGTGGAGCAAAGAATGTCAGTAGCAGTGTTTGTGTCCAGTGCTGAAAACTGAGAGGGTGAAGGAAGTGAGGATGAAACCATAGAGGATAGGCGAGAGGGAGAGCGAGCGTAGGTTACGTCGAAAGGTGACCTGCAGAGGAGTGTGTGTTGTGTCCAGAGTCAGTGTGAGGTTAGAAGTGATAAGGAAGTGGTCTGAGGTGTGCAACGGTGTAACTAAAATGTTGTCAGTTGAGCAGTAGCGCTTGTAGATAAGGTCCAATTGGTTACCTTATTTGTGAGTAGCTGTAGTAGACGCCGCTTGAGGTCAAATGAGGCAAGCAGAGTGTTGAAGTCAGCAGCCTGTGGTTTATCTAGGTGGATGTTGAAGTCACCGAGCAGTACCAGAGGAGTACCGTCCTCAGGGAAGTTTGAGAGTAACACATCCAACTCATTTAAGAATTACCCAGTTGACTTGGGGGACGATATATAACTACAAAATGGATTGTAACAGGGTGGGTAATAGTAATTGCGTGTGATTCAAATGAACTGTTGCCGGTAAGAGATGGTAGACTATCAAATTTCCATTCTTTTGAAATAAGTAGACCCGTCCCTCCACCCCTCCCAATCGGGCGAGGGTTGTGGGAAAATGTGAAATTAGTGGAGAGGGCTGCAGGAGTGGCAGTGTCCTCAGGTTTGATCCAAGTCTCCGTTAGGGCCATGAGGTTGAGACTTGAATGAGTAGCAATAGATGAAATAAAGTCTGCTTTGTTTACAGCAGACTGGCAGTTCCAGAGACCAATTGGAATAGAGAGTAAAGTAGTAGAGGACATAGGGACAGTACGCAGATTATTAGGATTGCACTGCCTCCAACGTACAGTGCGTGATATCTGAGTGTTAGTAGTAATAGCAGAGATTTGAAAGCACATATTGAGTACAATTGACTAGAACAAGTAGATTAGAACAAGTTATACAAAAAGTAAAGAAAGGGAAAAAAAGCAATACTACGGTGCCTTGTCGGTGTCCTTGCTCGGTGGAGTCGCGCAGGTAGAGTCGATGGTCTTTACACTCGTCGGTCTTCACATGAGGGCTTCCGAGGTGTACTGAGCAAATATATACTCCCGATTCCACGTAATTGAATTCAGCTGGCCACGCCTTACTACTTATTAAACCGAAACTGCAAAGCCACGTGATACGCACGAGAACAAATGCGACTTGAGCACGTGTTTACCACGGTAAACACAGTAAACAAAACAATGTGTCCTAGCAACGACAACCGTGCTAAAATCTAATGCTGTCCTCCTTTGCTGCTCGACTGCTTCTACTAACAAGTACTTGCAAACAAGGTAAATTATATCTGGTCAAAAATATTGATGCTGTGCATACATGGGCGTATATTAATATCCGTCCCATTAAACGCTCTCTGATTAATATCATGACTTATGCAGTGATGCAGAGTAAAGGCGGGTCAGAAAGTGCTGGTACCTTGTTGGGTTTGATGGCTCGCTGCAGATTCTCGATCCATTTGTCCCTCTCAGCAGCAGAGCGGCACGCGAAACACTTGGTGCCTGATGCAGTCGTCACCTGAAGCACAGAGAAAACCCTTTCATTACGCACCAATCACACATTATATCTGTTTATTTTGTATCATTTTTGCATGATTATTCAGCTGAGCATTTGTATTGAGTCTTTTTTGTAAGTATTCGTAAAATATCGGTTTTATTGTTGTATTGTGAAAATCCAAAGTCGAAAAAAAAAATTCATTTTGTTATTTTTATTTCTGTGAAGCTGCTTTGACACAATCTGTATTGTATAGAGCGATGTCGAAATAAATGTGACTGACTTGAAGAATAAAAACGGGAATCATTATGTAATCCCAGAATTTTATTCGCATATTCTTCAATAAAAACAATAGTTATTTACAGGAGAAAATGTATTTACATCTATTTATTTAAATTACAGTTTGCAGTCATCTTGATTTTTAAAATGTAATTATTAATAGTAGGGATGCACCGATAGGATTTTTTTTTTTGGCCTACCAATTTTAACAAACAACTATTGGCCAATTCCGATACCGATATTGGTCAATTGCATAAAGCAGGGCTTAAAAACAAAAAAAAATCACATTTGCGTAGGCCGTACTATGCTGTCTGAAAAACTATATTTTGTTCAGATTTTATTTTGTTTTGGCAAGTATTTAATTATTTTGCCCAGAGAAAAACGTTGGATTATGCAACAGACATGCAACTCATTGTCTTCATGCACTTAATTAATAAACCATTGGTATCGGCCCTTTTCATGCTACTTCTGATATGCCGATGACTTTAAAATAATAAAAAATCCGATACATTGGTTCATCCCTAATTAATAGTTATTAATTAATAAAAAATAAGGATTTAATTCATTACATTTGAAAAATATTGTGTTTTTAAATGTAACTAAATAATTTGGTGACACTGTACAATAAGGTCTCGTTTTTAACATTAGTTAATACATGAACTAACAATCACCAATATATTTCATAGCATTTATTAACCTTTGTTAATGTTCTTTATTAAAACACAACTGTTTATTGTTTCTTCATGTTAGTTCATGGTGCATTAAACAATATTAATGAATACAACTTTCAACCTTGAAAATGTGTTAGTTAATTATTAGTTAATGTAGAAATTTACATTAAGATGAATAAATGTTTTAGAATAATTTTTCTATTATAGTACATGTGGAAAGGATAGTTCGCCCAAAAATGAATATTTTGCTATCATTTTACTCTCCAGTACGAGTTTCTTTCTTCTGTTGAACTTATTAAAATAAGATATTTTGATAAATGTTGGAAACAGTTTCTGGTCCCCACAGACTCCCTTAGTATTTTTTCCATGGTAGGAACCTGTGGCTCTTTGACAAAAATGACGTGTATGCTTTTATTGAAAGCATACATAAATGCAGTTATGCCCTAAAATTCAAGATATCTGGTCCTGTAAAAATGCTCCTGTATGAGTTTTTGTTGTGCAACCTTACTGTAAGGTGAGGTTTACTGTAAAGTGTTAGCCAATAATTTTATGTCCACTGATGTAGTTTGTCACGTTGTGCTATTCTCTAAAAATCTGGATGGTGGTGACGGTTTGGCTAAGATCTGAGGATCTCAGGTGTGAAGTCACTGTCATATTCAGATATCAGCAGTGAATACAGACTAACAGACCTCGAAGCAGTACTCCTGGCCGAGGATGCTGGAGTGGACGGGTTTGATGATGGCATCCTCGTCCAGCGTGAGGTCCAGAGCCTCGGCCGCACTGCTGGGAGACAGCAGGGACTCGTGAGAGTGAGACTCCTTGAAGCTCTGCATGAGACGTGTCCTGCACACACACAGACGGAGCAATATATATGTGCTGTGCATCTGTGTGACTCACTGAAGCACGATGGGAGAGTAAGTCACTGCATGCATTGCAGCACATGTGGCGAAAGCTTCCTGTGCGGTCGAGTTTGGGTTGGCTCTTTGCTCGTTTAATTGATCCTTTCAGACGGCGACTTAGAAAACTCTGTGAACACAAACACACAGAGTCAGTGTTAGCGCAGGACACTGCTGATGCAAGTAGAGTTTCTCCAGCAGAGGGCGCAGTGAGTCAGTGATGCTGTTCCTGGACCGCAGTCACTGCTGCTGCTGCCCACGCAACGCTCGCTGTGTGTGTGTGTGTGTGTGTGTGTGTGTGTGTGTATGTCTCACGGTGATCATTTCACTTTTAGCACATGCTCAAACAGACCTTGCAACCAACTTACTAGCATATTTCAGGAAAAAAACCTAGAGCGTAACTTTAGTTATTAGATGGAATGATGGGATCCCCCTCAGGCTATCCCAGATCAGGATTAGTTTGTTTCTTCATCAGATTTGGAGAAATGTGTCATTGCATGTGAAAAAGTGTTCTGGTCTGAATCAGGAGAGAAATCTGCACAGATCAAGCAGCGTTTAAACAGCTCTAAACAAATATGTGGCTGGATTTTGATGTGAGAGACAACAGGAGATGCACTTTTTCACTGGAGGAAGTGTTATTATGGATTATGGACTCTTATGTATTTTAGTTAAAAAATCTCTTAATGCTGGATTTGTTTCATCTTCTGTCTTCTCAAGATGTTAAAGTGGTCATATGATGCGATTTTCAATTTTTCCTTTCTCTTTGGAGTGTTACAAGCTCTTGGTGCATAAAGAAGATCTGTAAAGTTGCAAAGACTAAAGTCTCAAATCCAAAGAGATATTCTTTATAAAAGTTCAGAGTCAGCCACGCCTACCTAAAACAGCTCGTTCTAACACGCCCCCACATATCTACGTCACGATGTGGAAATATTAGCATAACGCCACACAAATGTTATTCTCGCTGTAGTATTGTTGCCACGGCCGCCATGTTGTGAACACATTTTGTGTTCTTATTTGCTCCAATAGCAAAAACACATAATCCAACATCCATAATAGCAATTCTATGCCTTAACATATATGCAATATGCAATACGGCAAAAAACAGTTTTGATTTCATGCCGACTTTAAAGGATTAATCCATCCAAAACTGCTTGTTCGCTCAGATCACTGTCCACTGGAAAAGAGCAGCAGGAACATTCTGACAAGCATCTGATTTTGCGCTTCACTGAACTCATGTCTGAACATCAGTAACTGATGACCGAGTGATGAATTTTTGAGTGATCTGTCTGGTTCCTGGGAAGTTTCTGCTTGGAACAAAACGGACACATGCAGCAATTTCATATTCCTTTCTCTCCTGTCGTGTTTTTTGGGAGGATTTACCGCTAACAAACCTAATTGGCATAAACAGCAATTAGCTTCAGCCATGATGCTTTAAAGGTGACATATCATGAAAATCTGACTTTTCCAGGTTGTAAGTGCTATAATCAGGTCCCCGGTGCATCTACCAACCAAGGAAACGTGAAAAAGATTAACCCAGTAACTTTGTTTTGGTTAGCCTTTTTCTGCAAGCGTCTGAGAAAACGAGCGCGTCTGATTTTGCTCCCTTGGTGACGTGGCAAAGGGATCTCATTATAGTATTACCACCCCATAATCTGTAAATTTACACCCACGGTGCCGTTAATCTAATGTCACGATGAAAGTTTGAGCAAAACATGCTAACTGTTCTGTGTTTGGCTGCAAATAGGCATTTTCAAAATGATATAATAAATGATCTGTGGAGTATTTTGAGCTGAAACTTCACAGACACATTCTGGGGACACCAGAGACTTGTATTACATATTGTAAAAAGGGGCATAATATGTCTCCTTTAAACGATGTCCTGAAGTCAGCGCTGGTAATCCGACACTGATGTGGCGCTCAGATGTTCTCATCTCATCAGCACCATCGTCCTCACGTAACTCAGTATCTGATTTCAGTGCGGCGAGAAGAATGATGGGAGATTTTTAACATGGCTTCAATTATGCTGCAGAGATTTCCTACTTTCCACAAGTCGTAATTATGAGTTTCAAGAGCTTTGTCATCGGAAAGAAAGGAATCATGGCAGACGCCAGGTCTGTTCCAGCCTATTTCTTTAAGAAATCGTATTAAAGGCAAAGTGTATAAGAGATATTTAGTCAATATCCAATGGTTTTTGAATAAAATGTAGCGTCCCATTTGTTAACAAAGATTAATATAAACATTAACCACACTATCTACAGTTTGTGAGTACAAATGGATATATTATTAATAATCTTATCATTTTTCTACCGTATAATCTTAAAAAATAAATCAAACATATGTCTATCATTTGAATCTTTTTAATTTTATTTTGCAACATTTCTGTAGGAGCAAACTAAAAAAAACAACCCACACAAAACACGACTAAAACACCGACCTGAAAATACATGCAGAACACACACACACACACACACACACACACACACACACACACACACACACACACACACGCACACACACACACACACACACTCACACACACACACACACACACACACACACACAGTGAGTTTTATATCCTAACTGTGATGAAAAACTTTCTGTATTTTTATAATAAAAAACTTTATTTTTTATGATTTTTAAAAAGGAGGACATCCCCTAAATATGATTAAGTAGACATATACACACACACACACACAATTACATCTTAGACGTCTCTACGGGGACATTTTGTCAGATTTAGTTCACTTCTGAAGACAAATATGCCCCAAAACTACAGCTAGTCAGTAAGACAGCAGGGATTTGGCGTCGGGTGCGAGTGTTCGAGGGAAGCGGATGTCCTCCATCAGGATGAGCTCAAACAGACGCTCGTGATCCTGGTTATAGAACGGCAGACGGCCACACATCATCTCATACATCACCACTCCCAAACCCCACCAGTCCACCGCACGACCGTAGTCATTATCCTCCAGCACACGCGCACACACACACACACACACAGACACACAGACAGACACACACTCACACAGACACACACACACACTAGGGCTGCACGATATATCGTTTCAGCATTGATATTGCGATGTTTAGTATAGGCTACTGATCGTTATATTTATACTGATTGTTTTCTTTGCTCACACACAGACTCGGTGTCTACACCGGACGCGACAGCTGTACAGAGATACTCATTTTAAATACATTTAGTAGTGGAGCTACTGCACACAATCATCAGTGCTGGAAATCCGTTTATTCTGTTGCATATCATTTGAACTTTGTGTCAGTACGTCATAAAGAGAACGAGGCATCTGTCGGGGATTTGTCACGCCGCGCTGCATCCAGTGTAGACGCGGTGAAAGCCATGCAGATGCACGTGAACACTGAATTCTGTTCACTTCTGCGTAGGGGTGTGCGATATTGACAAAAAATTATATGTAGATATTTTATGGGATTTTATCGATAACGATAATTAGACGAAGTGTGTTATTGTGCTGGTACCTTAAGGACTGCCGAAGACAGCTGACTCCTAATGTTTTTAATATTCTTCATATTCTGTGT